AATGTAATTGCATTTTAAGGGATCCATTATTATTTTTCCCAGTGGTATTAAAATGGAATTAAAACTTCAATTTTAAGCAAACAAATACGTTGTATTTGAGAAAAATTAAGTTGACAACCATGATAGTAACGCATATTAATATCTGTGCTTAATTTTTGTAAGAATAGTGGTGATCAATATAATTTAAAAATTAAGATTATAAAAGAAAAATAGTATCTAATTACTACCACTTTAAATATGAAAATAAAATCTTCCGGAAAATCCGGAAGAGTTTTCAGGTATGGGATTATAATTACATGAATTTTGTCCAAAGCTAAACACAAGTAATTTTAACAAATACTTATAAAATCTCATAGACGAATGCCTAAGTTCTTAAGTTCGAATTAATTAAAAAAATATATATATTTGTTAGTTATAAAGAATTCTGTTTCAGATCATAGCCACTAAAGAATTCAAAACTACAGAGAATCCGTAGTAGTTGTTGGGGTCTTTGGTTAACTCCTTGGGGACGAGTGATTCTGAAAAGCATTCGTACAAAATCAGAATCAAGTTGTAATTTAATAAAAAACGGTAACTTAAATGTAGTCGTTACTAATTTGACAGACTTACTTTGCTTTAACTTTAATTATTGTTAGTTTAATCATATATATAATCAATGTTTATTCAAAGTATAATAAAATAGTTTTATTGTGAACAAAGTAATGGTGAGTCAAACAATTATAATCAAACAATTATAACTCCACCCACAAATAAACTGCTAAAGAATTACTTTGATTACCAGTTTTATCTTTTTATCCTGGTTGATACGGTTTTATGCTGGCACTCATTTGTGACAGTCGGCGCGAAAGGGTTAAACGTGTTGTCTACCAATTAATTGCATTTCCAATTACAGATTCAACGATGTAAGCATCTTTAGAATTATAAAAAAGTAAAAAAAAATTCTATATGTATTTAAATTATTACAATTCCTATATATTGTTAAATATCAACGAGGAAAAACTGCAAAACGTTTTAAAGTTACCGAACTTCAGATTTGTATTACCAAGGTAAAAGATACATTAATCGATACATTAATCATAACAATAAAAATCATGAGCATAAATATAAATTTTCTAACAAATTTTTGAGAAAATAAATCCTAACAAAAGCAAGTTGATATATTTTTAACTCGTTATAATAGTCAATTTTCAGTAACTAATTATTTAAAAGATTAGCTAAGAAACTTTGTCAAATTCTCATACAACATTTTTTAACAAAAAATCATGAATTATACGTGCATTTAATTTCTATAGGTTTTTAAATCAGATTAATTAGGAGACGAGAGAATATAGAGCCTTTCAAATTTTTCGAAAACATAAACTCTCCACTATCTGAAAGCAAATCTGTCTTCATTTTGATTCTAATTATAAGTATGGTTAATAAAAAAAAAACTTTGTATAAACTGGCGCTGTAGGGGAAACCTTCATTATAGTTCGAAAAGACAAGTAGCGCTCTCTGGTGGAAAGAGCTGCATTTTCTTCTTTAATACTACTTCTATCTAATTTAAAGACTGCTCTTCATTTTCTATTGTTAAAACGTTTCTTTATTAAATGAGGTTGTTAGTTGTTTGAAAATAAAAAAAAAATATAAAACAATATTTTTTTCCAAAAGTACTAAGCAAAGAAATAAGACGTATTGTGTAGTTTTCTTTGTCAATTTGTAAAAATATGAATATGTAATTAAATTAGTTGCGACAAAACATTAAATGATATCAAAAATGCTCACAAAATTTCAGCAGTGTTTTAATGAAATTCTTTTATTTTTATTTGATGTCCAAATGATTCCGTTTGATATTTAATTCTAAAATAACCGTAAAATTATCTAAAAGAGATTTTAATTAAAGTGTTCTAAAGCAAAAAAAAAAGGTTAAACATTTAATGATATTTTTTATTACATAAAAATGATGTATTTGATTTTCGTACAAAATAGGACATGGGCTAAGTTTTGATTTTCATTAGAATGTGAAACAAGACTTTTAATCAATTTTTCCACTCATTGAAATTTAAAAATCACAAAACGTTTTAATTTTAATGAACAAATTTTAAATTTTTATTCTTTAACAATTTAAAAACAATCTGAAGTTTCGTGATGTAACTTTAATAACCTAATAGAAGCAACGTAAAATAAGATTAAATACCTGAGTAAAATTTCATGGGATACGCAAAGCTCTATTTATTTATTTTTTTATGAACATTGACTTTTGAGCAGACAGTAATTGATTATATATTTTTCACGGATAAGAATCCTTATTTTTTAAAATCTATAAATTTTTTTATCGAAACTGCAAAGTGCAAAATGCTATTTAATTTCTCTAATACAAACTATGAAGATCTCTTTCCAGTTTCAGAGTGAAAGATTTGATAACTGATTTGAATGTTGAATCGTTGACCTAAAGGATACATTACCATTTAATTTGAAACAGGGTTCGCCTGGTCCTTGAAAAATTTTAGTAGTGGTAGTGGTAACCTAAGGTTAATACTAGAAGATCTTCTTAATTTTAATATACCACTTTGTTAATTAGTTGGTTTAGAAGCTGGAATTTTCATGCAGCTATACTTTCTTAGGAAAACAATTTTTAGTGATGGTTACACAGAAAGTAAATTATCTACATTTGTTTAATTTTCGTTACCACTTTTTAAAGTTTACAAGGCCAGCGGGAGCCCTGTAAAAAAATAGATTACCTGTGATATCGCAATAATACTAATGATATCGTCCGCTTATTTCATGAAAATACTATGCTATGCCCACTTATCCAACACTTGCTACAACTGAAAGCCTCCACACGGTTTTTTACAAGTAGTCCGATCAGACCACTGTGAAGTTTAGCCAGTTTACGAAAGAGCCCTTTAGTAGAAAATCTAGCAAAAATTAGGAAGTGGTAGCAAATATATGTCTAAAAATTTGTTAAATTTATGAATATGATTGGTTTGTCATATTTACTTGTCAACCACTACAGTTTCAATTCTCAAATATATATGATAAATTTCTCTCCGGTACTTGTATAATAGAATTAGGGTTCATGCGCACAATTGGTTCTTTTTTTCAATAGTCTGAGCAGATTACTTATCAAAAACTGAGCTGTGTCTTTCTGATGAATGATGGGTAAGTTGGAAAGGTTCTAGAACTATGTATATATCTATATTAAACGTAGAATTTTAAATTTCTAGAGTCAAACGGTTTAAGCATGCAAACCTACCAGCAGCTACCATTTTGCTGAATAGAGTGGTTAGCATTTAAAAACCAATGCTTTCAGAATTTTTGATACTTTAGTCAGAGTTTTAAAAGCCTCACCATGAAAATTCTTAACCAAAGTGGCGTTTCATATGAACTTTTAAATCATTTATATGTAGTGGTAGGGAAAAAAAAGTTTAAATGAATAAAAAATATATTAAAGCACAAACATAGTTACCACTGGAATAAATTTTGACAAAAGTATTAAAAATAGGCAACTCTGAGTATGCTGTAGGCGCATCATGTCCTTCTCTGGACTTTGCGCCATTAAACCCTACATTCAATCAATCTGAGTATGCTGTAGGTATGAAAAAAGAAAGAAGAAGAGAAAAATCTGGAACAAATGCCACTTAGCCCTTTTTCTCCTCTTCTTAAAAAATTTAAATTTTTTCATGAATTAATTTTAGAAAAAAAAAATTATTTTGGTAAAAAAAACATTAAACACCATTTATGCAGAACTCTCATAACAGATCAAAAATAATTTTGAAAGTTTTCCTTTACTTCTGTTATGTAACAGGTCAAATCAACACATTTTTCTTCTAGATATCATTTATTAACTATCACTTATGAAACGACACAAATTCATTTCAGAAAATAAATCATAGTTCTTGAAAATCCTTTAAACTGAATAGCTCCTACCGTCATTACATATTTTGTAACTTAAATTACCAAGATGTAAGATTGTGTGGCATACGATATAAAGTCATCTCCTCAGAATGCCAATAAAGCAAAATTTATGACAAATTCTCCGAGCTATTTAAAGAAGATATTGAACGATTTCTTTTTATGGGGAAATAGTTTGGTTATTCAATACATATTTCTTATTTATTTATTCAATCGAATTATGATCCAAAGAGTGGAAAATTATTCGCATTATTGGTATTGATTTGCTTCGCATTATTAGAGAAGGCTGCGCTATTACTCTAAGATGATATCACAAAATGTTCGAAAAGAATATTTTAGGAGATTGAAAAAGAAAATCGAGTCATACATAAAGGTACTTAAAGAAATTAATGGATAAAATGAGAATCTTAGTAGAGGCGTTAACTAAATGAGGTATTCTAATAAGTTTTGAAACTTAGATGAAAGATAAATTTCCTGAATTAAGTCTTTAAGGAGACACTTGTAATAGATACTTCATTCGCTCATCTTAAAAATTAAATCGAGGTTAATAAACATATTTGGTAATATGTTAACTGAAGACTTAAATATAAATTGTCGAATTTTATAAGGAGCAACTAAATTTTTATTTACATATAAATCACACCAGATAGATGAATTTCCCAAAAAGTGCTACCTAGTGACACAATTGGAAAGCTGGGTGGATGAACGAGGCAAGTGACCTTTTCAAAGTGGCTGTAATAGATAAATAATAAAGATACAAAGATAAATTTCTTGAATTAAGTCTTTAAGGAGACACTTGTAATAGATACTTCATTCGCTCATCCTAAAAATTAAATCAAGGTTAATAACCATATTTGGTAATATGTTAATTGAAGACTTAAATATAAATCGTGTTATGTTGCTGTTTCTAATCCCCAAGAGGTCCATCCTAATTAGACCAATTCCATAAGTCCAGTTCAGGAAGTCTAAAAACAGATGAGGTTTTGAAAAAACCTCGTCGATCTTAAAATCGATGGAGTTTAGAATATGCTCGGGCGAAGCCTGAGCAGTCTTACATTTAGTGCAAAGTCCAAAAGTCTTTTGCCCCTGAATATATGAGAGACACCTCAAGTGACCACTTGCAAAGCGAAATAAACAAGTCTGCTGGCTTCTAGGTCCCCCAAAAGCAAGGCACTTCCAGGTCGTTTTCTGAAATACCAATTAAGCGGAGGAGGAACCCTCCAGAGGTCCTTAAACATTTTTTTGCACTCTGCAAAGACCTCATTGAAAGTGGAAGGTAAATCTGGCTGTAAAGGTTCTAAAGAAGCATCTTTAGCCAGTGAGTCCGCCATCTCGTTACCTTTGATTCCAACGTGTGATGGAATCCATTGGAAGTGTATCCCAAAGTCCGCTGAGAGCCTGAGGAGCATCCCCAAAATTGAAGCCGCAGCCCTGTCTCCAACATTCATCCAGTTGCTAAGGTGTTGGATTGAAGATTTGCTATGCGTCAGTATCCATATATGCTTAAAGTCAGGCTCAGCAATATTCTCAACATGTCTTATGCCATTTTCAATCGCAATAAGCTCAGATCTGAAAACCGAGCAAAATTCAGAATTTCTAACTTTGAGACTCAATGTGTACGTGGGTGTTTGAATAAAAACCCCACTACCTGAATGACCTTCTTCGCTCTTGCTACCATCTGTGTATAGTTGTAAAAGCATCTGTTGGTATTTGGCTAAAAGTTCCAAGAGCCATTTGTCTCATAAATTCTGGGTTGCCTTTGCTTTTATGGGCCGGGTGCAACAGCTCTGTATGGAAATGGATACCAGAAAAATCAGTAACAGGGCTAAAACATGACCTCAAGGAATGAGGTTCAATTCGGCAGGGATATTGCAAGTCTACAAGGTGAATTGAAACAGCCAAAGAGAAGGGACTGTTTCTCTTCAGTCTATGGTTATTTTTCCAATTTTTGAGATAGTGAGAGGTTCTGTTCTGGTCACCAAAACTGATGAGCTTATTGTAGTATTTCTTGAGACTGGAGTTCCTCCTCATGTATAACGGCTGGAGGTCAGATTCAAACAAAACAATTTCATCTGAACAGCTACGCCTCAAACCTGTAATAATTTTTGCAGCACTAATTTGAACTTTTTCCAATCTATTTAGGTTTGTCTCTGAAGCGCAGGAATAAATAGGTGCCCCATATTCCAGTATGGGGCTAATAAGTGCAGTATAAGTTAATTTCAAAGTTGTAGCATCTGCTCCCCATTCTTGCCCAGAAATATATTTTAGGATATTTAACCTCTTTCTACACCTCGATTCCAGCAGTTCTATGTGCTTATTGCCAAGAATCTCCTGGTTCATAATAAAACCCAACTATTTTGCATTCTTTTCATAAGGCAAATTTTGACCGTTGAAACAAATAGTAGGTTTATAATTGTATATGTGCCTATTTGTAGTATAAAAACTAACAACAGATTTAGATGAGTTAAAAACCAGTTTGTGTTTTTGAGCAAAGTCACTCACATCTTTTAGAGTGAGGTTGATATTGTCTTCAATAGTCTTAATGTCAGCGTCAGAGTGCCAGAGGATGAAACCATCTGCAAAAATACCAACATTACATCACTTAGATATCACCTTTTCGATGCCAGCAAAAAATAGGCAGAAGAGCAGAGGTCCCAAGACGGAACCCAGGGGGACTCCCTGGCCGAGTCAAAAATTTCTTGAGAGGGTCTTACTGAATTTAACTCTGATGGTTCTGGCCCTTAAATAATCAGATATCCAGGGGAGAGCATTACCTCTAGTTTTAAAGTCATCAAAAAGTTTGATTATTAGCTTATTTCGCCACATTCTGTCAAAAGCCTTTGTTAAATCCAAGAATGTAGCCACAGTATGATTAGTGGGCCGCATATTCTGAGCGTCTCTTACACTCTGGCAAAAATATAAGATTTGGTCAATCGTACTATAGCCTTTTCTAAAACCGTACTGCTCTTTTGGGAGCAGGTCGTTTGCTTCGAGATAAAAAAATAAGCCTAATTAATACCATTTTCTCCATTATTTTAAACGGGATGCTAGTCAAGGGGACGGGACGATAACTCTCAGGAGATCCAGCATCTTTGTCCATCTTCCTTATTGGGATGACAATCGCCTTTTTCCAGTCAAGTGGTATACGACCTCTTTTCCATGACTGATTAATAATATCCAATAACCTGAGTTTGCCATTTAGTCCAAGATGCAGAATCATATGAGCATGTATATTACCGGGACCAGAGGATTTCCTTGGATTGACATCACTCAAAACAAAGTCAAGTTCATGCATACTAAAAGCAGTAATAAAGACCGAGTCTCCAAAGTTTGAACTGCGACATTTATGAACCTTATTTCTCGCATTTGTTTCAATTGGTTTATCATTTTCATTGAATGACAATTTACTCACTTGCGTGTAGTAATCACCCAAACAGTCTGCAGCAGCCTTATCGTTGAGGGGAACGTGATTGACCTGGCTCACAATTGTATTACATTTTTCTATTTGAGGATGCTGATTACCCAGAGCCTTGGCAAGTTTCCACAGCTTCGTGCTGGGAGTTCTAGCATCAATTTTACAGCACATATCAATCCAAGTTTTCCTCTTATTGTGAGCATAGGCTCGTTTAATCTCAGCATTAGTTTTCTTAAGGTCAATTCTTAGTTCAGGTTTTAGAGTTTTTAAGATCCCGAATCAACGAGTTCCTTTTTTCAAATAAGGCAGTAATCGTAGGAATATTAAAAGAGTGTAAGGTTCTGGGTCGTTTGAAGTTTCCCCTTGGTATACTTTGTTTAGCAGCATGGATAATAGAGTTTTTGAACGAATTCCAGTTAGATTCAAGGTCATCACTAAGGCTCTCATCACAAAATTTCCGTTTGGTCAACTCAGTAAAAGCATTCCAGTCAGCTTTACGAAAATTCCAAAAGTTCTCTCTAACAGTTGGAGTTGAAAGTTTGTCGTTAAATTGAATCAAGATTGGCAGATGATCACTGCCCACACTATTTTACAGTCCATAGGCACGATGCATACAACTCAGCACTAACAATATAGATATCGAGAGCTTCAGCAGAGTTATAGCTGAATGAGTAATGTGTACAAGAGTCATCATTAAGAAACAAAAAGGATCTGTCATCCACTGCTTCTAGGAGATCATTTCCTCTGCTATTATTAGCTGAGTACCCCCATTGAGTTTGTTTAGCGTTAATGTCTCCCAAAAAGATACGGAGTTGACAGGATGTTGATCCAGGAAAATATCAGGCAGACAATTTGTGTTCGGTGGCTGGTAAAGATTAAAAATTTTCAAATTTCTGTTGTGCCAATTAATCAGAATACCCTGCATCTCAAGATCAGAATTCATTGAAGAGATATCTATATGGCTGTAGTTCAAATTTCTAATTAACAGTGCTAGACCACCTCCGCCTCTATTGGGCCTATCACATCGGTAGATGTGAAATCCCCTGATATTCAGTTGAGAAGACTCTCGAAGCTTTGTCTCCTGCAAGGCAATAATCTGCGCATCATGGGATTCAGCCAAGTCCAGAATCTGGTTCAGCTTCACTCTCATGGCAACAGTAGTTAGGCCGTTAATATTACATTGAATAATCTTAAGAGATTTTCCCTTAGAAGATAGAGACTGTAGTATACTTGTCGAACCTGGCCCTCTGCTTAAACCAGGAACGCGCCTCTGATTAACCTGCGCGACAGGCGATGCAGTATGAGAACTGGATTGAACTAGACTCATGGTACAGGGGAAAGTGTTACAGCTCCTGTTGGCCGAAAGTGACCTGGAGCACCAAAGGTAGAAGACTGATTTAGCTCCATAGTTTCACCTGCTAGCATTAGCTGGGCATAATGGAATGGCCTTCACGCCTAGGGTGGCCCTACCAGGAGCTAAGCTCCCGACGTACTTCGCCCATTCCGCCCAGTAGCACACCCTCGCCACGGTGAGGGAGCTAGCTGGATTTGAGGGGGATATAAATCGTTGAACTTTATAAGAGGCATCTAAATTTTTATTTACATATTAATCACACCAGATAGATGAATTTCCCAAAAAGAATTATCTAGTGACACAATGGAAAATCTGGGTGGATGAACAAGGCAAGTGACCTTTTCAGAGTGGCTGTAATAAGGGTGAGAAGATAAATGGTGGTTTTCGCATTATTATAAATTTTTTAGACAGCGAGGGATTAGTTATTTTCTTTATTTTATTTACCAACACCTAATTTGGAGTGGGGATGGAGCACTACTCTCCCAATGAAGTGATCCAACGATTGTTGATCGGCATGAATTCTTCATTCGGCACACACTGCCCAGAGTGATGACGAAAAATATCTCCAGTGGTAAGCAGATCATGGGTTAGAGTCAATTTGAATAGTTTCGGGATAGTTGTGTAAGGTTTTCGTGGTTTTCCTCTCCATGTAACGCAATTCTGTATCACTAAACATACATATATTGATGCGTCCACTCGTATTAACCCAGATACGTATTCCTGAATGTGTCACCTACCTGCTCATCTACTAACTTCTTCAACTTTATCTTAGTTTTTATACATTTTTAAGTCAGCGATTCAAAAAAGCTGTTTTTACACTGATAGTTTTTTCCTTTGTTAAAGTGGACGCCAAATATTATATTAATTTGTTTTTCTTTTTTTTATTAATACATTTTGTTTCAAATTAAATGTAACTACCATAACAGACAGATATTTAAAATAATCTACAGAGATGTCAACTGAAAGCCTCCACACTGTCTTTTACAGGTAGTCCGGTCTGACCACTGTGAAGGATATCCACTTACCGAACGAGTCATTTAATACAGAATATAGTTAAAATAAGAAAGTGGTAGCAAATATATGACTAAAAATTTATTTTATTTTTTGAATATTATTGGTTTGCCATATTCATTTGTCAACCACTACAGATTCAATTCTCAAATATATAAGATACATTTCTCTCAATTACTTTTACAAAAGGTTTTGGGTTCATGCGCACAACTGGTTTGCTTTTTAAGCAGTCAGCGCGGACTACTTATGAAAGACCGTGTGGAGGCTTCTTGATGTAGGAGGTGATGTCCGGACAAGCCATAATAATTAAAAGAAACGGTAAACATCTGCGAAGTAAATTTGCATACATTAGACTGTTTTTGTTAGCTTTTTAAGAGTTATAGGATAACATAATGCTATAAAGTGGTGAATTATATAAGCCTACGTATTATTTAGAAATAGTGGTGAATAAAAATCTACTAAATTGAATTTATTAAACCAAGGATCACAATTCATAAACTACCACTTTAAAATAAATATTTGCTGTTCGGAGCAAGTTGGCATCTCTGAATCTAGTGTAAAATGAAGCTCCCAGCTTCTCAGTGATTCACCAAAAAATAAAAGATCAAAAAAATAAAGCTGTAGCGAAATTTACAAAAATGAATTTATGTTATTAAGAGGTTATTGCACAACGTTTTTAAACAACAAAATAATTTTGTCAGCTAAAATCTTAGTATAGATGTAACATATTGAGTGGGAAAAAAGTCATGTCGATGTTTTAAGGTGAAATAATGCTCAATTTTTCAATTAATAAGTCAAATATATTCAATTCAGTTCAATGAACTCTTGCCAACTTTCTAGTAACAGTTCAACAGTTTACGGAGTTTGAACGGGGGAGAATCATCGGCCTTCGTGAAGCTGGATTGTCTTATCGTATAGTAGCCGCTCGTGTGCAGCGTAACAGCAGCACAGTGATGAGTGTTTGGAAGCAGTGGACGGACGAGTGTCGGACAACTCGAAAAATCCGAGAGTGGACCCCGAAATGTCACGTCAGCTGGCGATGACAGACACCTGGTCCGCATGGGGCTGACGAACCGTACGGCTCCCTCTAGACAACTGACACAGTGATCAATAGCTACAGGTGTTTCATTGCGTGCTTCATCAATTCCTAGACGTCTGCTGCAGCGTAGACTGCGAGCAAGGACTCCTTTTATACAGGATCACCCTCACGCTAAACCATCGCCGCCTACGGCTACAACGGACCAATCAGCATAGTGACTGGCTGGCTTATTGGCAGCGTGTCGTGTTTTCTGACAAATCCCGCTTTAATTTGTGGGACCATGATGGCCGCACTCGTGTCAGACACTATGCCGGCGAACGCCATCATCCCCATTAATAGTGCGTTATCGAACGCCACAGTGGACGAACACCCGTGGTTATGGTCTGCGATGACATAGCATATCACGGACTATCTCAATTGATACGAATTGTGGGTAATCTGAACAGCAACCGGTACGTCAGGGAAGTTCTACAGCCCCAAGCTGTTCCCTTCCTTCAAGCCTTGCCAGGCGCTGTATTTCA